TGGGACCAGTTTCCATTTTACAGAAAGCCAGTCTACCCTGCAGACATTCTAACCAGGAGTATAGCCCAATAGTCAGTCAGCAAAGTAATTGGGGAAACTGTATCCTTTGGTAGAAGTTACAGACTTTTTCGTTTTTGTTATCTTCTTGCAGGAAGACTTTAAGAAATACTTGCTAGATCCTTGCTGATAGATGTATTTTGTTCATTCCAAATGATGAACATTTGAAGTATAAGGAGATAGTCTCCTAGAGACCTGGGGCTGCTCTTGTAATTTCATCCTTTTAGTGCTTCGTGGCGCATTAGCACTGCATGGGTGATGCCCAGACCCAAACATTAGAGTCTCACTGCAGAAGCAGCCCTGGGATGTGGGGAGTTTTACGCCATTAGAGGGCTATTAGGAATATTTGCAATTGGGAAAGCTGGCTAGGGGGATTAATAGAACATTTAAGGATAATTCTATTTTGAAAAGTAAGAATGTGTAGATTATTTTTGTAAAAGCTGTGAAAAAATCAGAGAATTAAATTAATACTAAGAATTAAAAGTTTTGGGACGCCTCGGTGGCTCAGTGGGTTAAGCCTCTTGCTCAGTCTTGATCTCAGAGTCCTGGGATCAAGCCCTGCATCCGGCTCTCTGCTTGGCTGGGAGCCTGCTTCTCCCTCTCCTTCTGCCTACTGCTACCTACTTGTGCTCTCTCTCTATCAAATAAATAAATAAAATCTTTAAAAAAAAGTTTTGGGGGCATGTGGGTGGCTCAGTCAGTTAAACATCCAACTCTTGATCTCAACTCAGGTCTCAGTCCTCAGGATTATGAGTTTAAGCCCCCACTGGGCTCTATGCTGGGCATGGAGCCTGCTAAAAAAAAGAAGTTTTGGGGGGTATGTGGGTGTCTCAGTTGGTTAAACATCTAACTCTTGATCTCAGCTCAGGTCTCAATCCTCAGGGTTGTGAGTTCAAGCCCTCCATTGGGCTCTATGCTGGGCATGGAGCTTGCTTAAAAAAAAAAAAAAAAGAATTAGAAGTTTTGATAACAACCATCTAATCTGCAAAGAAAAATTCATACTCTTTAAAGAGTACTCTTTAGTCATAGACTATTGAAATATATCATTGAAGAATTAATAGAATCATATCAGATTATTTTGGCCTACTCAAAGTCTTTTGTGGTTCCATACAAATTTTAGGATTGTTTATTATAGTTCTGTAAAAAATGCTGTTGGTATTTTGATAGGGATTGCATTAAATATATAGATTGCTTTGGGTAGTATAGATATTTGTTCTTCCAATCCATGAGCATGGAATGTCTTTCCATTTGTTTATGTCATCTTCAATTTCTTTTTTTATTTTTTTTTAAGATTTTATTTATTTATTTATTTATTTATTTATTTAGTTATTTCAGAGATGGGTGAGAGGGGGAGAGAGAGAGAGGGAAAGTGCAGGCATGAGTCGGGGAGAGGGGAAGCAGATTCCATGCCGAACAGAGAGCCCAGTGTGGGGCTTGATCCCAGTACGCTGGGATCTACCTGAGCCTAAGACAGATGCTTAACTGACTGAGCCACCCAGGCCCCCCTTATCTTCCAATTTCTTTCATCAGTGTTTTATAGTTTTCAGAGTACAGGTTTTTTACCTCTGTGGTTAAGTTTATTCCTAGGTATTTTATTATTTTTGGTATAACCCTAAATATGATTGTTTTCTTAATTTCTCTTTCTACTGCCTCATTATTAGTGTATAGAAATGAAAAAAATTTCTGTACTTTGATTTTATAGGCTCTCTGACTTTATTGAGTTCATTTATCAATTCTAGTAGTTTTTTGGTAAAGTCATTAAGGTTTTCTATATATAGTATTATGTCACCTGCAAATAGTGAAAAATTTCCTTCTTCCTTACCAATTTGGATGCTTTTTATTCTTTTCTCTTGTCTTATTGTTGTGTCTAGGACTTCTGGTACTATGTTGAATAAAAGAGGTGAGAGTCGACATCCTTGTCTTGTTCCTGACCTTACGGGAAAGCTCTATTTTTTTTTCCCCCCATTGAGTATGATGTTAGCTATGGGTTTTTCATATAAGGCCTTTATTATGTTGAGGTATGTTCTTTATAAAGCTACTTTGTTGAGGATTTTAATCATGAAATGGATGTTGTACTTTGTTAAATGCTTTTTCTTCTTCTATTGAAATAATCATATGGCTTTTATCCTTTCTTGTATTGATATGATGTATCACATTGATTTATGAATATTGAATCACGCTTGCAGCCCAAGAATAAATCTCACTTGAATGTCATGAATGATAATTTTAATGTATTGTTAGATTCAGTTTGCTAATATTTTGTTGAGGATTTTTGCAAAAATGTTCATCAGAGATATTGGCCTGTAGTTCACTTTTTTGGTGGTATTGTTATCTCATTTTGGAATCAGGATAATGCTGGCCTCATAGAATGAATTTGGAAGTTTTTTTTCGTCTTCTATTTTTTGGAAAAGTTTGAGAAGAACAGGTATTAACTCTTCTTTAAATGTTTGGTAGAATTCACCTGTGAAACCGTCTGGGTCCTGTGCTTTTGTTTATTAGGAGTTTTTTGATTACTGAATCAATTTAATTTCTGGTAATCAGTCTGTTCAAGTTTTCTATTTCTTCCTGATCAGTTTTGGTAGGTTATGTGTTTCTAGGAATTTATCCATTTCTTCTAGGTTGTCCAGTTAGTTGGCATATTTTTCGTAATATTCTCTTACAGTCTGTTGTGTTTCTGTGGTATTAGTTGTTATTTCTTCTCTTTTGTTTCTGATTTTGTTTATTTGAGTCCTGTGGTTTTTTGGGTTTTTTTATGAGTTTGACTAGAGATTTAATCAGTTTTGTTGTCTTTTCACAGAACCAATTCCTGGTTCTGTTCTGTGGCATTTTTAGTTCCCTATATCATTTATTTCTTCTCTAATCTTTATTATTTCTTTCCTTCTGCTGATTTTTGGTTTTGTTATTTTTCTAACTCCTTTAGGTATAAGATGTTATTGAGATTGATTGGTTGATTGATTCATGATTGATTTTGCTTCTTGAGTTAGACTTGTATTGCTATAAACTTCCCTCTTAAAACTGCTTTTGTTGGGGACGCCTGGGTGGCTCAGTTGGTTAAGCGGCTGCCTTAGGCTCAGGTCATGATCCCAGCGTCCTGGGATCGAGTCCCACATCGGGCTCCCTGCTCAGCAGGGAGCCTGCTTCTCCCTCTGCCTCTGCCTGCCACTCTGTCTGCCTGTGCTCTCTCTCTCTGACAAATAAATAAATAAAATCTTTAAAAAAAAAAAAAAAACTGCTTTTGTTGCATCCCAAAGATTTTGGACCATTGTGTTTTCATTTTCAAGTGTCTCCATTTATTTTTTGATTTCTTCTTTGATTTCTTGGTTGACCCATTCATTGTTTAGTAGCATGTTATTTAACTTCCTATTTGCTCTCTTTCTAGATGTTTTCTTGTGATTGATTTCTAGATTTCTAGTTTACGTTATGGTAGGAAAAGATGCATGGTATAACCGGTCTTTTTGAATTTTTGATATTTGTTTTGTGACTTAATACATGATCTATTCTGAGGAGTGTTCCACGTGAACTTGAAAAGAATATGTATTCTGTTTTAGGGTGGAATGTTCTGAATGTATCTGTTAAATCTAGTGTGTCATAGAATCACATTTTTTAATAAAAAGAAAAGTCGGCACCATTCAACTAATTAATTAACCTTCACCTTAATCTAAGAATTATTTTTATTTTACTTTAATAGTGTTTTTATTAAAAATTTCAGAAACACTGCCTTTTGGCTACAATTATAAATCCCCTTCTGAATTTCAAAAGTCCTAGATGAGAACAGTTGATTTTTAAAAACAACAAACAAAAAAAATTTCGAAAACACTGCTTAAAATAAGTCAGATACCTAATAAAATATCTTTAAAATTTAAAATTGTTGAGCTAATTGATTTTCTTGGTATGTTTAGTTAAATATTTTTTTCTCTATCTTATAATTACTGAAATGATCTTAATATTTCCCTGCATTTTATTAAAATCATAGTTTCATGTTGGTAATCTGCCAGCACAGACAGTATTTTTATATTATATTTTAAATGTGCTAAGCTGAAGATGAATCATGGTCTGGGTTTTGCTAGATCTTCAAACTTTAATTAGGTGCATTTTTTCTTCCTTTTAAAAGCATTGGACAGAAGATATGACTGAACTAATACAAATATTTTAGTGAGTACAGATAGAATTGAATACTATCATTAAATAAAATTGTAGGACTAGGAGTACCTGGGTTGCTCAGTTGGTTAAGTATCTGGGTCTTAATCTCAGGGTTATGAGTTCAAGCCCCACATTAGGTTCCATGCTACTTTACAAAATAATTGGAGGACTAAAGTATATTATAAGTTTTCATATGCCTTAGTAAAATAATTTATTAATAAAATTAATAATGTGCATTACAATAAATATTTCCTAACGAGCAATGTTTCCACTAGATGTTTTTAACTTTTAGGGAAGTCCTTGTTAGATCTCATATAAACATTTCTTCTTTCTAAAATTTCCACACATATTTCTGTTTATTAAGTATAATATGTTTAAATTCGTCATTTGGGACAATATTAGGAGGATATATATTTTCTTCCACTTCAAGCTATTTTACTATATTTTCCATATTTTCAAAAAGACTAAATATTTTGGAGAAGGAATTCATCTATAATGGTGTGGATTTTTAAGTATACTTTTGTGTACAAATATCGAGACATGGGTGGAAAACAAAAAGTGAACAAAACACACTCACCAGCAAGATCTGTGAACTTTATAATATTTAATAATACCAGAGTAGCAGTTAGTTTTTTGAACTTAATTTTAAATACCATCATAGACCAGTACTAACCAAGACTCAGAACTACAACAATCTTCCCATTCTTTCTCCAAATTTCTGAGGGAAAAAAGATATCCTGTGTTACTGTCAATTCGTTTATTTAACTGAAAAGTCCTGATAATGATTGTCCATTTTCACTTAGCATGGACACTTATCAGGAAGCTACATGACATCAAAGAGGAGTCAGCATAACAAAAAATTTAAAAGTAAAGAATATGATGAGTACAGTACGTACAGCGATGACAACTTCGGTACCTACAGTCAGGAAACAGAGGAAGATTTTGCCAGTCAGCTGAAACAATACAGACAAGCTAAAGAAACCTCAACTACTGCTTTAGGATCATCATTTTCTAAAGAACCAGGGAAAAAACAAAGAATGAAAGTTCAGCAAGGTAAGTGTGAAATTGTCAGTGTTTTTGAGCAGTTAGCTGTGGAATAACAACTTAAATTTCTTAGTCCCTTCTCAAGATCAGCTTATTCCCGTGGTTCCTGAATTTGTTTTTCTTTATTTTATAGATTTTGAGCACAAACATCTACAAATATTTCAGTCTGCATGATAACTTAATATTTGAATTAGAAAGATATGCTAATATTTTTAGAGTATATAAAAATAAAAAAAACAACTTTCCCATTACATTTTTTCCCTTTCCTTGTGTAATGATATCAGTATACTGGAAAAAATGGCTTACATTTTTCAGTTGTTTTTATTACTCTAAACATTGCCTCATATTTTAGACCTGTACAGACAGAATTCTGGGTAGCTTTTCTTTTATTAGACTTGAAAAGATGATGATCTTCTTTGCTGTGCAAATGTACTTATGCTTAGGATTATGGATATCCTTCAAGATTGGAAATAAGAACATAAACTAAAGAAATTTCTGGAGTGATCATCACTTCATCCACTATATTGAGGGACATAATCCCTGGAGAGACCAGGGCAAGTTGCCAAAGAAACTATGGGTCACATAAAAGTCACATCAACCTTTTGAATTGTCCATTCAATGTCTGCTTCAAGAAAACTGGAGTAAGATGAGGCTGAGGTGAAGGAGTGAGCCCCAAACCCAATGTCACTGTACTTTCTATATTGTTGAAAAAAGGAACCAATTATGAGTAAATGTGATTGTTTTTATGACTTTATTTTTTCTTGATTTCCTAGCAAAATTCCTTTGAAAAATATGAATCCAGGCTTTGCTGACCTAAAAAGGAAAGGAATTTGTCTGTACATATGCTATTGTAATTAGTAAGTTTGTTCCTGAAGTCTAGACATAGTGGTGTCAGGAATCATTCCACTTGGGGAATAAGGGAACATAGAGAGGTTTTGCTCATCCATTCCCACCTGGGGTTTTCCCTTTCATCTTTTCCTGTTTGTTCTGTTAAATAATTGAGTATTCTTTTATTTTTGACATTCATTTTACCCCCTCAGTTATGAAAGTAATATATGGTCAAATGCAGAAGACTTTTTCTATGTGTAGAAACAGTAACCTAACCAAGATCAAAGATAAAACAAAAATAATTTGAATCCCTACACTCAGAAATAATTACTATTAATATTTTTGGTGTACATTCTTCCAGAATTTTTCTGACAATTATTTTTAACAAAAAACTATGCATACTGTTTAACTTGTTTTTTGCCTTAACTATGAATTGACTCTCAGTCATTCTTATGTTAATGAGTAGCTTTTAATGGCAACAACATTCTATTCAATTAAACAGACATACCATAGCTTGCCTAACAGATTCTTAGGTTTGGGTGATCATAATCACTTGATATTTAAGTTGCACCCAGATTTTTTTTTTTGGCACCAAGTTTTTTCTTAACTCTGTGATTAACCCTGTATATTTACACATGTCTCAGAGAACATCATCACAAATATTTTTCCTTAAGAATAAATTCTGAAATGCAGAATTGAGTCAAAAACTATAGCCACACATTTGAAGATTTTTGATCCACTTACCAAGTTGATTTCCAAAAAGTTGATAGGCCAATTTATAACACCCCACCAGTATGTGAAAATGCCAATTACTCAACTCCCTACCAACGCTATTCTTTGAGGTAAAAATTGGCATGTTATTTTAAAATTTTTAATTTCTTTGATATCTTTTAACGAAGTAAACATTTTTTCATATATTTATTTGCTGTTTGTAGGTTTAAGATCACTTAATATGTAAGAAAATGTTCGATGTGAATTTGGTAAAATGAGAAATGATTCTATATAGTAACATAACCTAATACATAATTTTTGCAATTTCAGATACTTCTAAATTTAAGCCAAGTTTTTAAAAAGTAAAAGATAGGTATAAATTTTACTTAGAAATATACATAATACTACTCAAAATTATCACTAGAAACTCCATTTGGTCAAATTAACCACTAATACCTACAATGTCTTCCTTAAGGATGAATATAAAATTTAATTCCCTTAAAAACAGAAAGCCTTGTTATTTCTTATTTGAGGAAAACTGGAAAGAACAAAACTACCTTTGACTTCTGTAGCCATGTGTATTCTTGTGCTTTGCCCTCCTTATTATTGTTAACATCCCTTAAAAAAAAAAAGAATGAGAAGCACTACCTGGAAAGTAAAATGTAAAGATTTAATTAATTTTTTTTCATTGAATCTAGAGAGAAAAAAAAATGCACTGTATATTATAGACTATTTAAAATATGCTGTTCCCTATAAACTAATAGATTGACAGGTATGTTGTTTTTCTATAATATTTGAAGTACATTTTAACTCTTTTAGGTATTGAACAGAGGGTTAAAAGTTTTAATGTCGGTCGTGGACGTGGTTTGCCGAAGAAAATCAAACGCAAAGACCGTGGGGGAAGAACCAATAAAGGGCCTAATATTTTTTCAGGAATGGATGACTATCAAGAGGTACTGAGAATTTATAGATAATGAGGAGAGCTTTTCCATCTTTTAACCTATTTGGCTGCAAAGAAAGCCTTGTGATTTTAATGCTACTTTCCTAGTAAATGAAAAATTTCCAGCTAAGATCAAATGAGTATAAATAGATTCTAAAGAAAAGAATTAAAGGAATTGTTGTTTTAATTAGTCAAGATACTAGTATAAAGATGCAAATTTAGGTGACCTTGAAATAAAATTAATGTGTTTGAAAGCACCTCAAATAAAACTGGTATGTTGGAAAGCAAAATGTGACCCTAGTAGTTCTTCATTGTACTTTCCTTTGCTAGGAGTCATCCCAGATGCAAAGGGCAATAAAATGCTAATAGCTCAATATGAAGCATGGCTAATAAGAAGGGAGATACTATAGTGGTAAATTAGCTTACTAGAACCGAAAACATTGAAAGAGAAGAAAAGGCAATATAAATGGTTGGAAAGATGAACTTGTGTACCTTATGTATAGTAAATATTGAATAAAGATATATTGAGTTGAATTCTGAACATGTACATTTCAGCCTTGTTGTACAGACTCTTGGGATTAAAGTAGTCCGAATCTAGTATTCTGACACCATTCCAGCAAGACTGATTAAATTATGCAGAGCAAGAGTAGGTTATTAAAAGCTACAACCTTAAGTGAAAACAAAGGGATAGCAATATATTGTAATTTGAAAATGCCTGATTTTCTGATGTCTGGGTTTAAATAAGGGACAAAGTGGTTTTTTTTTTTTTAAGATTTTATTTATTTATTTGACACAGAGAGATCACAGATAGGCAGAGAGGCAGGCAGAGAGGGGGAGGCAGACTCCGCACTGAGCAGGGAGCCCAATGTGGGGTTAGATTAGGACCCTGTGATCATGACCTGAGCCAAATGTAGATGCTTCACAACACGCGCCCCAAGGAGCAAAAATTTCTTAATATGTACTCTAAGTATACTATTTAAGGAGATGTTAATAGGTATGACCTAAAAAAAGTTCAGGCCCAAATAAATTTGTGAAACCCAGCACATGCCAGTCTACTCTTGGGGATTCTAAGTTGACAATGTATTAAAGGCTTCTTGCAAGTTAGATATAAAAAAGCCTATTTTACTTTGTTCAATCCATTGTTTTTGTTGTATTTTTTTTTAAGATTTTATTTATTTATTTGACAGAGAGAGATCACGAGTAGGAAGAGAGGCAGGCAGAGAGAGGGGAAAGCAGGCTCCCTACCGAGCAGAGTGCCTGATGCAGGGCTTGATCCCAGGACCCTGAGACCATGACCTGAGCCAAAAGCAGAGGGTCAACCCACTGAGCCACCCAGGCGCCCCTCAATTGTTTTTATATTGTACTTGACCCTGAACTTCCCCCAAACCCTGCCCAATATATTAACATTGATTGAGCCACTCACTGTTCCATGGAATAGCAGCTTTGGAGACAAATTTAGAATTTCTGAGTGATTGTAACCTGCCTGTCCATCTTCCTATATTCCTCTAGAGTGTGTTGCTTTCTCGAGACCATATTAATATGAATGCTGTCTGAAAGTAAGCTTTCTCCTATATCCAATAGGTACATACTATGTTTGGAAAAAAAATTAGCTTCCAACAAAGTGTGGCTTTGAACAAGTTACTACCTGTCTCTGAGTTTAATTTGCTTAATCTGTAAAATGAAAGTATGGTGTTTAATTAACTCTAAGGAGATTGTCAAGTACTAACATGTTTACAAATTTGGATTGCAACTAAAAAATTCTTTATCATGTTATAGAAAATCAGAATAAATTATTTCTTTTGCACTCATTAGATATAGAATATTTTTCCTTTAGCTTATTAAGATTAAAATGTTACCGGGGTGCCTGGGTGGCTCAGTGTGTTAAAGCCTCTGCCTTCGGCTCAGGTCATGGTCTCAGGGTCCTGGGATCGAGCCCCGCATCGGGCTCTCTGCTCAGCGAGGAGCCTGCTTTCTCCTCTCTCTGCCTGCCTCTCTTCCTACTTGTGATCTGTCAAATAAATAAATAAAATCTTTAAAAAAAAAAAAAGATTAAAATGTTATCAACTGTGTCCGTTTATTGGCTGTCAAGAGAGATTTCTTGTTATGATTCTAGAAACAAACAGAGTGCCAGAGCCCAAGCAGGTAGCTCATATTCAGGAGTGGTCTGGGGGAAACCTGTCCAGGGTACAGTGAACATGCTAGAGTGGCCAACATACATCCATTTCCATCTTTTCCAGGGAGTATGAGATCCTCCAAAAGCCAGATAAATTCACAGATATCTGCATGTTCACATGAACTGTCTTGAAAACTCAAGGGTGGTCACAGAACAAGCAAATGTTTGATAGGTTTTAAGAACTTATTTAGTCTGTTGGCCATAAAACTTCTTAATTTTTTTTTGTATTTATAACACCTGTTACATTTTCTGTAAATACATATTATTTTGCTGGCAAATCTTTTCATTCCCTCTTCCTTATATATTTCAAAAAGATTTTTGTGCTCTTGTTTCTTATGCCAGTATAATACATCTTCTAGAGGAAGTACATTTTGAAATAACCAAGTAGATAATTTAGTTTTCCCTATCTTCGTCTTTCCTTTCTCTCCCTCTTTTTTCCCCTCCCTCTTTCTTGAATTGTATTTTCTTTTTATTTATTTTATTTTATTTATTTATTTGAGAAGGAGGGAGAGAGAGAATGAGAGAGAGAGAGAGAGAGAGAACATGAGAAGGGGCAGGATCAGAGGGAGAAGCAGACTCCATGCCAAGCAGGGAGCCCGATGCGGACTTGATCCCAGGACTCCAGGATCATGACCTGAGCCAAGGCAATCGTTTAACCAACTGAGCCATCCAGGAGCCCTGAATTGTGTTTTCTTAGAGATAGTATAATACAGTGCAAAGAGTTCTATCTACCCTGACTGCTGACTCACCATATGACCCTTGGCAAGTCATTAATTTCTCTAATCTTCACTTTTCACATTTGTCTAGTGAGGGTGATGAACTAAATGATTTCTGTGGTTCTTCCAACTCCTTTGTTACAAGAGATCTTAATGGTAGAGGACATTCACGTTGCTTCTGTAGGCTTAGACTTAAAAGATCAGATCTTCTAGGCATGTTATTTTCTCCTAAAATTTTATTATTAAAGTTTCTTTAGATTTTTTAGAATATCTTCATTATAATTAGGTTTCTCATGGTTATGGATACTGATACACATTCTACTCATTTAAACTAAACTAAACTAAAAAACAAAACAGAAAAACCCATAACCCTCTATTAAAACAATGAGGCACATCATTAGAAAGTCATAGAATGAATTATTGATGAAATATAGGTACAACTTGGTGCATTTTTCAGGGTGGTTTGGATTTTTTTGGTGATTACCTAATATTTTACTTTTTAATTTCAGTTATATTCTTCTAGTTGGCCTATTAATTTTGTATAATGCATTCTCCTGGACTTCCTATTTTCTTATATCTACTTGCTCTAAATGAGCCTGAAAATAGAAAATGTTTGTGAGCCAAATTTACATAAATTTAAAACATTTTAAATGATCTGATCAGAGAATAGCATAAACAATTTTATTGTGTTTTTCCTGAGGCAATTTGGGTATACTTACATATTTTTTAAAAACATATAGGATTATCTGTGTTCTTCGTATTGTACTTTTTCCCTAGAATTCTTATAGTAAAACATATATTTCAAATGCGAGCACTGAGGATCAGATTTAAGTCTAGCCATCTTTTGCCTCAAGTGGTTGCTGTGAGGCAGTTTCCTATTTTCAGTAGGTTGTGTTTTGTTCTCCATCTCCTAGCAAACTGAAGGAAAGGGAAACAAATCAGATTAGAAGAGCAAATAGTTATTGTGAACTCCTGCTATATATAAAGTATGATGCATACCGGGTGTTTGAAAAATAGTGCTATTTTATAGAGCTCATGAATGTAAGTCCTTAGCCTGGCTAAGCCTCATACTCTTGTTACTCAATTTTCTTGTACTCAGCAAAAGTTGAACAGAGGTCTAAGGAGAAGTAAGGAAAGCAGGTAGGGCTGTGAGGTTTTCTACCATATACTTCTTTTTGTTATTTTTTAAAAGTTTAAAGAAATACATCCTCCCTCTTTTTTTTCTTTCCTAAAGGAAGTACAGAATAACCACACATGCAAAAAATCTCTGATTTTTTGGAGATCCATCTAGAGACATACACTCTTAAATGTGGGGATATATTCTTTGAGTCTTTTATCCTTTGTCTTTATTATTATAACATTCAGATCAGTTTTCCACTTAGTAAAGTATCGTGAACATTTTCTTATGTTCCTAAATTGTCACTCCATCTCATCGGTTTGTAATGATTACATACTAATCTGTCACTGACCTACATCATAATGTATTTGACTGGTCTCATCATTTGGGATGTGTAATTTCTAGGTATCTGTCTGTTTGTTTGTTTTATCATGCAAAGTAATTCTGCAGTAATTATTTTCGTGAATAAAGTATGTGTGCCTCCCTGATAATTCCTTCAGAATACTCCTGAAAAGTACAAATTTTGTCAAACAGTATGGGTATTACAAATCTTTTATAACATAGCTATCAGCACATCACAAGAAAGCACATTTAACATCTTTGCCAACAAGTATTATTGTTAATTTTCAGGCTTTTCATAATTTTATTTTTAAAAAGTAGTTGTACTTCCTTATTAAAATAGAAATAGGTTCTTTGCAACCACTAGTAGCAATGAGCAGTGTATTAGAAGCCTGTCTCTGCAAATAAATAAATAGTATCTGAATGTCCACTCTTGACCACTTTAAATAGTAATTTGTACTGCTTTCCTAATCCATTTGACTATCCATTTTAGTACATATTTAATATTTTATATGTTGTATTCAAATGAATTTTTCTTTCTTACAGTATAGTAAACCAGGGAAAAAATGGAAGGTTATGACTCAGGAATTCATTAATCAGCACACAGTGGAACACAAAGGAAAACAAATCTGTAAATACTTTCTGGAAGGGAGATGTATTAAGGTAAATTTGGGGAGATATCATAAAGAATTTCAACTTCCACAATAATCTTTAAAATGTAAAGTCTTTTTAGGGGGTGGTTAGTTGTTTGTTTTTTTCATTTCTCATACACTTGTAATTATAAAGCTGGTTCTTCAAAGTGTATCTTCAAAGTGTGTCTGTGGCAATACTGTACATCGGAGTGTACTTAATTCTATTCTGGGACAGTAATATAATTTGTTGAACCCAGATTTTATTTAACAAACACAAAATGCTGACTGTGTGGCAAGTACTGTTTAAAGTGGATTATTAATATTAAATGTTTTAATCTTTACAGCAACCCTATGAAGTAGGTACTGTTAATAGCCCCATTTTAAACATGGCCAAACCAAGAGGTTAAATAAGTGTCCCTAGTGGCTCAGCTAGAAACGGTGAGTGCTGGTGGAACCCGGGCAGTAGGCTCTGAGGCCATGCTGTCAGTGCTTCCTCTGCCTCTGTGCATAGCCACAACCACTGACTTCGGCAAGACTTCCAAGAGATTGTTTGAATTATTATTAGATCATTATTTAAACACTGAAGATATAGCCGTAGTTCCACCATGAAACACCATAGAGAAAATTCAATTGTTTCTTTTTTTCTCTTTTGTGACAGGGAGATCAGTGTAAATTTGATCATGATGCAGAGTTGGAGAAGAGAAAGGAGATCTGCAAGTTTTATTTACAAGGATATTGTACCAAAGGAGAGAACTGCATTTATATGCATAATATCCTTTATTAAAAAGATGTTAACCAAAATATTGAGGTTATAAAACGTTACTGAGGTTTTTCAAAATCCCTAGAAAACCTACTTTGGTTTTAAATTTAAAATAGCATCTGCTATGGTCATATGACTTTTTCCTCTTGATCTTGTCAAAGTGTTGATTACAATAGTAAATTTCCTAAAACCCCTCAGGAATTCCCTGAATGTAAGCCACCTGAAAATGGCATATTTTTCAATAAACTTCTGGATTTAATATTTTCTTTAGAAGTTTAAAATTTGTTTCCAAAATCATGAGGTAGCTTAGCTTATACTTTTCATGTTGGGATATTTGACTTTAATGTGACATATTGAGCCCCTTTATTTCCTTTATAGATATAAGCTCTTGCTACAAAATTTATTTGCTCTGTCTACAATTTTTATTGTGGAAAGTAACAGAACTTACATTATTGAAATACTATAGTATTTGCTGTAACAATTATTTTTTCTTTAAAATATTTTCTAGCTTAATATAGTAAGGAAGATTAAAATCTTTGAATGTTTTGCTGCATAATTGAAATATTTCATCTTAAAAATTATCTAATATGACATGTATAAAAAATTCAGTACAATATATAGTAATACAGTCTTATTGACTCAGCACTGATATGTTTTGGATTTCAAAGTATTAAGAGTTTGATGTCACTTGGTCTGTTCCTTAATATTTTTATTTACATGAATTTCCGTGTAAGTTCTACCATAGTGGAGCAAAATGTTACCAAGGAGACAACTGTAAATTTTCACATGATGATCTGACTAAAGAAACAAAGAAACTTTTGGACAAAGTAAGTAATATTTTTGCACTTCAGTTATTTCTTAGGTCTCATCACAGAGTCATTTGTCTTGAATCATATTTTATAAATCATATTTCAGAAAAGTCTCCTGAGAAATCAAGGATTTGTTATTTTATGTTTTAATCCATGAGCGTAGTATGTTAGAATAGCAGAAGTATTAGGAATTAAAATCTTTCATTCTTACCATTGTTCTGCCATTAAAAAGCTGATGTACTTTGAGAAATATCTTTTACCACTTGGAACCTTACTATCAAAAATGAGTTATCTCTCTCTGACCCATTTTGACTTCAGAATAATATTTTTCTAATAACAAAACTGGTTTACTGAAGTCTTCACAGTTTTTAAATGTAAGGAAGAAAGCTTCTTTTGGAATAGTAATCTTTGCCAATCATTTTTAGGTGTTGAACACTGAAGAAGAAGCCACAAATGAAGATGAACGAGAATTAGAAGAACTTAGAAAACGGGGCATAACTCCTCTTCCCAAACCACCTCCAGGAGTTGGGCTTCTCCCAACTCCACCAGAACATTTTCCCTTTTCTGATCCTGAAGATGATTTTCAGACAGATCTCTCTGATGATTTCAAGAAAATCCCATCTCTTTTTGAAATAGTTGTAAAACCTACTGTGGATTTAGCACACAAGATTGGGAAGAAGTAAGTTAAAATCTTCAAAAATGGCATCATTTTCCCCCTAAAATTTCCTACTGAGAAACTAACTTGTATTCCATGTTAATCATGTAATTAAACTTAGGTAGAGATAGCAGATACCTGGCATTCACCCCAAATGCTCTTCCTGCTTTCCTTTGTCTCTGTCCCCTGCTGCATGCCATCAGTGCTTCTCTCTGTGGAATCCTTAACAGCTTTAAAAACCTCTCCACAGAGTAACCCTGAGAGACACTGCCCTGTGGCTGGAATTGGTATGTCTCCCAATTCATTAGGAGGCTACATTGGCGTTGATAACATCTTCAAATAGTGGCATTAGCATGTCTCCAGAATATTTGATTCTTTTAGAGAAATTTTCCTTAGGCTATTAGAGGAAAACCTTTGGTAAGCTGGATCCAGATTTGCATTTTCTAACAACACCATTCCAGTCCTGCTGCCCTTTCCCAGAGTCTGTGCACCTGGGCTGCAAGTCCCACTGTTGATTATTTTAACCCTGAACACTCAGAAAATCAGTAAGATCTCAGTAAATGAGGAACAAGAAATTGACAGGAAATGTGAACCATTAAAATTATTTCTCTTAAGGTCAAGAAGAAGATAAGTATGTCCATTGTTTGGCTAATACTATAGATCGGATGCTAGCCAATGCAAAAAGAGAAAGACATAATAGATATAAAGATAGAAATGGAGAGGGAAAAATAAAAAAAAAAGAAAGAAAGAAAGAAATGGAGAGGGAGTTCATTTTGGGGGCAGTCTCCCTTGATAGACCTGAAGGAATCAACTGACAAAACTATTAGAAATAGTAACTAAATTAGTAAGATGTCCAGAAAGAAGAACAACACTCAAAACCTAAAGGTCTTTTTATATGCTGACAGTAATCCATTACAAATTGAAAAGGTGTGTGTTTATATAGTATAATTCTAATTTTGTTATATTTTAGAAAAGTTCCATGTATGCCTAGAAAAAAGTCTAACAAAAAAATATTAACTAACCAAAAAATATTTCTGTGGGTGGCAGGATTAGAGGTGATTCTTACTTATCTTTGCCCTTTTCTGTATTTTTCAAAATAGCTGTAAGCTTTAGAACAGCTCATAGTGTCTATTGATTAAGACTGTGGGCTAAAATGAAGGCAAGATGCATCTACTGGCGTTTTTATTTGGAGATAATGTAGAATAAACTGCTTCTTAACATATTCTGATACAAAAAAACACACTTAACCATACATATTTAAAATATAACATTCTTGTTTGCCTCTTTTCTTTGAACTAAGAAATATTATTCTTTCTGTCTACAGGCCACCAGCATTTTATAACAGTGCCTCACCACCAGGACCACAGTTTCAGGAAAGCAGCCCACATCCTCAACATATCTATAGTTCTGGATCAAGTCCGGGTCCTGGACCTAATATGTCTCAGGGACACAGTAGTCCTGTGATGCACCCGGGGTCCCCCGGACATCATCCATGCGCCGCAGTGCCACACAGCCCACCTTTGCCGCCTGCTCCACCTGGAATTTTAGGTCCTCACAGTCAAGCTGGAGTACTTGTTCAACCAGATGCACCTTTGACACCACAGAATATGAGTGGTGCTTACCATTGCTCGGGCTTTCCAGAACACATGATGAAAATACCCAGAGAGAATCACTGTTCTCCAGGTTCCTCATACCTGCAAAGTCCTGGTGAAATGCAGCTCAACACCAGTTATGAGTCCCTACAAAACCCAGCTGAATTTTATGATAATTACTATTCACAGCATGCTGTACCTAATTTTCAGCCACCTAGTAACTCTGGTGGTAAGTTTACCTTTTCAAATAACTCATTTTTAATTGTTTTTAAGCTTTTCTTTTCTTTTTTTTTTTTTTTTAAATTATATTTATTTATTTGACAGAGACACAGCAAGAGAGGGAACATAAGCAGGGGGAGTGGGAGAGGGAGAAGTAGGCTTTCCGCTGAGCAGAGAGCCTGATGCGGGGCTTGATCCCAGGACTCTAGGATCATGACCTGAGCCGAAGGCATACGATTAACGACTGAACCACCCAGGCGCCCGACTCATTTTTAATTTAAAATCTTTGGCGTTCTCTATTTTTCATTAAAAACATGATAAGAATGTGTGTTTTTAATAAAGCTAAGTAAAATGTAATGAAACTGAAGCCATAAAATATATTTTAAATTTAACCAAACATTTGCTACACCAGAACTTTAGATAGCTTTAAAAAAAATATTTACAATTGGGTGCCCACGTGGCTCAGTCGGTTAAGAGTCCCAAGTTTTCATTTCAGCTCAGGTCATAAACTCTGGGTCATGAGATGAGCCCTGCGTCCAGCTCCACGCTCAGCATGGAGTCTGCTTGCCCCTGCCTCTCCCCTCAATGCTCTTTTTCTCTAAAATAAATAAAATAATATCTTTAAAAAAACATTTACAATCACATAGTAATACGGTAATCAAATGTAGTTACTATTAAAGCTTCAATTTCTTGTAATTGATCGTGGCACTCTCTAGTGGAGTTCGGTGCAAATCAGCGTCTGTGTCTTTCTGTGTTATGTGTATAGATGGGATGTGGCATGTTGACTTTGCCCAGCATCAGCCTCCCATTGTTCAAGACTCCCCTAACCGTGGGAGTGGATCTGATGGCAGCAGCAACACGACAGGCCACGGCCCCCTGCCTGCTCCAGGCCTCCTCCCTGCAGTGCAGAGAGCTCTTTTTGTCAGACTTACTCAGAAGTACCAAGAAGAAGATGAACCAAGCAGCACCCAACCTCAAAGGGCACCAAGCAAGGACGAAGGTGTGTCGGTTGTTATGGTAGCATCTTACTTTGGAATTACCCAGTTCCTGAAATGCTCTTGAATAGGTTAAAATTTGAAAAATTAGTTCCTTTGAACTATCTATTCTACTTCCAGCTTACCTTGTAGCTTCTATCTGCTTGGAATTGGTCATGGTTTCCAGTGTCATTAATGCTTTAGTACTTAATTGCAAAGAATTTTACCTGAAGCAGTGAGTAGATCTGAAGCTATAGTGTGAGGCCTGGCTGAAGCCCTTTTTATGGAAGAAGGAAATAAAACAGGAACCAGACATCTTCCAGGGCAGAAATTTTGACTTCTAGCCCAAGTTTAAAATGATTCAGTTATTAGAGTTTTTATGGGCATAGGTTGTATTCTACTATATTATGAAGGAATATTATTTTTAACATAAAAGATTATGTGGAAACCTCAAGTTTACCTTAGTATTTTTGATATTGATAAGTATATAACAGTTACTTCATTCAGTTGAGGAGAGAAAGCTTAACACATCCAGTTCTTCTTATGAATTACAGAATTGATATGTTTGCCCACTTTCTTGTGTGTATTTTTTTTTAAAGATTTATTTATTTATTTATTTGATAGAGAGAGAGAGAGAGAGAGAGATCACAAGTAGGCAGAGAGGCAGGCAGAGAGAGAGGAGGAAGAAGCAGGCTCCCCGCCAAGAGCCCGATGCGGGGCTCAATCCCAGGACCCTGGGACCATGACCTGAGCCGAAGACAGAGGCTTTAACCCACTGAGCCACCCAGACGCCCCTTTATTTTTTTTTTTAATTAAGTAAATTGCATGGCCAACATGGGGCTCAAACTCACGACCCAAGCCCAGGAGTCTCATGCTCCACCAGCTCAGCCAGCCAGGTGCCCATTTGCCTACTCTTAAGCATAAAATTTATAAATATGTAAAACTGGGTAACATTAGGTAGCTACAAGGTATTATATAAACATCTGTTATCTTTTCAAAGAAGGTAGCATTAACACTTCATTTATTTAACATCACAGGGAAATTAGGGATTCCTAGTAAGTTTGTTTTCTATACAATTTATGTTTGCTTCTTAAAGTGCTTAAACTTAAAAAAAAATTTTTAATGATTATCTTTCTATAAAGTGTTAGAAAGATTTACATTTTCATAAATAAGAAAATTTACAGTTTTTCTGGATATAAAATTTTGTACTATAGTAATATAATTGGTGATGTTTTATGAAGGTTTTTATCTCTGTATCCAGAAAAAATCTTGAATGGCTAGGTTTTTTAAAGAATTTAAATTCAGTTAATTAACATATAGTGTATTATTAGTTTCAGCGGTAAAGTTCAGTGATTCATCAGTTGTATATAACACCCACTGCTCATTATATCATGTGCCCTCCTTAATGCCTGTTACCCAATTACCCTGTCCTCCCCACTCCCCTCCCCTCTGGCAGCTCTGTTTTTTTCCTATGATTAAGAGTCTCTTATGGTTTGTCTCTCTGATTTCATCTTGTTTTATTTTTCCCACCCTTCCCCTGTGCTCCTCTGTTTTGTTTCTTAAATTCCACATATGAGTGAGATTATATAATTGTCTTTAGCTGATTGATTTATTTCACTTAGTATAATACCCTGTAGTTCCATCCACATCATTATAAATGGTAAGATTTCATTCTTTTTGATGGCTAAGTAATAATCCATGGTGTGCCTGTGTGTGTGTGCGCGCACGCGCGCGCCATATCCTCTTTATCCATTCATCTGTCAATGGACATCTGGGCTCTTTCCACAGTTTGGCTATTGTGGACATTGCTGCTATAAACATTGGGGTGCAGGTGCCCCTTTGGATCACTACTTTGTATCTTTGGGTAAAATACCTAGTAGGGAACAGCTAGATTTTTGTGTGTGTGTTCGTGTTCATTTTTATAAATTGTAGTGCCCTTATAATTTTAATCTCTCCTTTGATAAAAAGCTGAAAAAGCTGTTAACTGTCATTTCTTATCTAATATCTCCTTTTCATTGGCCTACCCTTTGGTCTGCTTTCCTTCTCATTCCAGAAATGATTGAAGATGGCTTATGAAATATATTGATAAGAAAGGCAAAATAAAATAGCATCTTCCTTTTGTGGGTCAGATTTGGATCATCTTACATATTTGGATCAAGTAACAAATTCTGTGAGAAATGAATTGCTATGCAGAAATATCTAAAATAATGGCAACAGGTTAAAGTGAATCACTAGTTCAGCTTTGGTCTTCCCAAGGTCAAAGAGAGGAAGAAAAGAGATCTAGTGTCTAGTAGTTTTTTCTGATACTGACACCGAAATATAGTGAAACTTTTTTCCATTGGGTTGGGGTACCTGGCTTCCTGAGTCAGTGGAGCATAAGACTTGATGCTTGGGGTTGTGAGGTCAAGTCCCACTTTGGATGGAGAGATTCCTTAAAAAGAAAACTTTAAAAACAAGCCAAAACTTTTTTCCGCTGTGATATATATATAGTCTATATGATTTTAAGCCATAATTCCACCCTAAATATCAATGCCTGTTTTGTAACTCTGTTCAAACTAAATGTGTAACACTGAAATTATGTGTAGTAGAAACGTGCTAGTGAGCAGTGAGATGAGTTAAATGAGAATATGCCCAATATTCTGTTAATCCGTGACATTCTAGGACACATACATATGTGTGTGTGTGTGTGTGTGTGTGTGTGTGTTACCAAGTCAGAGTCAACATATGTGTGTTTTTTTTAACATATGTATGTTTTAATGGAAAGGAAGGACTGTCTCCTGTAGCATCAGTTTATAATCCCTGCTGTACTACTAGAAAGAACACCTCTGACAGTGTTCCCATAGATTCTTAACAGGGTGTCTAACACACTAGGGTTAAATATAAGCCTTTAGGAGTATGGCCCAAAGTGTTCCCATAAAGTTAAAGTATATAAATTTCAGGATGTTAGTTTCGTTATTTTTACTTTGAAATATTTAAATAGCTAATATATTCACATATGTCAAACATCTAGAAATATAATAAGCTATAGATGAAAAATCTCTACCTCATCCCTCATTTGCTTGTTTCCCAATGCTCCCTTAACCAGTACTCCATTGTTTTGTTTTCTTTCCAGATTTTTAAAAAACATTGCATCCTTGTTATCTCAATAAATCCAGAGCTACAAAGCTTAAGTATTACTTAAAGAGATCCAAAACATTTTAGTATTCTTTTCCAAGAGTATTTTTCCTCCTTCCCCAACTCTGTCATGCCACACCTACTCTCAGTTCCCTTTTGGCCAATCCGAATAAAAGGTCCTGCCTTCTCCCTGACCAGAAGGACGCTACACATATTCTAATATCACACCTCTTTCTCTATAGAGTATGATGACTAAATTGATTATTGTCATTCCACATCTAATTTTACTCCAGTGTTGAACTCTGGCATTTCTCTGATGCATTTTCTTGAAGTTAGACTACACTTATTCTAGAAATATTGCATGTTTTTTGATTATCTTAATTAAGGTAAAATATGAATGCTTCATTCTTTACAATAAGTTTTTATCTGCATTTAGATGATACTGTTAACTGGTATTCCAGTAGTGAAGAGGAAGAAGGAAGCAGTGTGAAGTCAATACTGAAAACATTACAGAAACAAACAGAAACTTTAAGGAATCAGCAACAGCCTTCCACAGATCTCAGCACTCCTACTGACCCAAGACTCGCTAAAGAGAAAAGCAAAGGAAACCAAGTTGTTGACCCTAGACTTAGGACTATCCCAAGGCAAGACGTGAGAAAATCCTCTGAGTCTAACCCACTGGATCTTAGACTAGCGTGGGATCCCAGGAAATTGAGAGGGAACGGAAGCGGTCATGTAGGATCTTCTGTTGGTGGAACAAAGTTTGATTCGCATCATGCAAATCCCGGCTCCGTCAAACACAAAAGAGGAGATGATGATGATGAAGATACAGAAAGAGAATTGAGAGAAAAAGCTTTCTTAATACCTTTGGATTCTTCCCCTGGCATAATGCTCCAGGATCCGAGGTCACAGCTGAGGCAGTTCAGTCACATTAAAATGGATATTATCCTAACCAAACCCAACTTCGCAAAACACATCGTGTGGGCTCCAGAAGACTTACTTCCAGTCCCTTTACCTAAACCTGACCCAGTATCTTCAATCAATTTACCTCTGCCCCCTCTTATAGCTGACCAGAGGCTCAGTAGGTTGTGGAATACAAAAAGCGATCTTCATCAGAATACAGTGCCCACTGATTCAAAATCAGCGGCCAAAGTCAAAGTGAACACCGCAAACAGAGAAGGCTACCTAGAGCAATTTGGAGAGCTGCATAGTTCAGGAAGTAAATTAGGAGATCCTAGGCTTCAAAAAAATTTTGATCCTAGACTTCATAGACTGCACAGTACAGAGTCTCACCCAGCGGTTATGAAGGACTCACATACATTAAAGGGCACCCCTCACTTAGCCAGATCTAACCCTGCTTCGTCGCAGCCCTCCGGGGCCACGACTAGCAGTTCCGGGCCGGGGGCCTTGCCTCCATATGCCCCTAAACTCTCCTCTTCAGCTGGCCTTCCCCTGGGAACCCCAAATTCAGTTCTTAGTGGCATTAGTTTGTATGACCCTAGGGAGCATGCTTCATCATCTGCGTCAGAGCTAGCAACAGAAAATACAGAGAACCCGAAAAAAAGTGGTGGTTTAAAAAGTAGTGACAAAACTGAGCCTTCTCCTGGAGAAGCAGTCCTGCCACAGAAAACCAGTGCAAATGTGGAAGTCGCCGTGGATGGGCCGGCTGACCCACAGGCAGACACCCTCAGGAGTCCTGGTACGGTTCAGGTCCCAGCAGTGCACAGTCTTCCTATTCAGGCATTAACAGGCCTAATTAGACCGCAGTACAGCGATCCAAGGCAGTCCAGGCAGCCAGGGCATACGAGTCCCACCCCGGAAAGTGATCCCAGTAGAGAACCAGATGACAAATCTCTGAAAGAGGTTTTTAAAACTTTTGATCCGACTGCTTCACCATTTTGTTAGCTATCGTGTAATTAAGCAATTCTTTTCACTCTGTGACTATTGCAGTCCTCTGCTGTTTTGTAACTGGTTTACCTCTATAGTTTATTTATTTTTAAATTATAAATACTTTTCAGCTGCTAGTATCAGAACCACAAGAAGTTATATCCTCTAAAGCCTGTGGTATTTTATATAATATTTTTATAACTTTAAGAGACTGTAGTAATTGACATAGAAACCTATATATCATGTTAGCTTCGGTAAAAGTACTTTTATCGTAAATAACCCATCATGAACTTGACACTCTGCCCAAATATATGCCAGTCGTCTTTCATAATCAATGTTTAGATAAATGATTACCACTTTTATATGGTTGTTAGTTTCAAGCAATATGATGTACATTACTTTTGAGCAACAGTATTTTGACTAGGATCTTCTCTGTTTGTCAACAGAACTGATTAATATGTAATGCTAACTGCTAACTAAAATGTAAAATGAAGTAAAGAAAACATTTTTAAAATCACAGTCAGCAGAGCAGTTCGTGTTTAAGGGCATCACTTTTATTAGTATTGGCAATATTGTGTAAATGAAGCATTTGAATGTCCTATCTTTTAAAAGTATTTTATTGTATACTGTATCATAGAAGTTGGAGATACATAGATTGTTTTTGCTAAAGTGAAATATTCCCCAAGTTCTCTAACATAACTTTTTAAATTTAATTTTTCATATTAAATAGTTATGAGTTCTTGCTGTGTTACATTGTGATGTTTATGTGTCTCAATGTTTTTGTCGTTAGCAGCATAATTTATATTCCGTTTTCAAATGATGTAGCTGTGATAATTGTATTCATCATGACTTTGGTAATTTTTAACAAATTTTTAAAAGATCCAGTGACAGTCTGTAGTGATTATTGCATTGGTAATGTTTTAAATGTCCAGGTTCTATATTTTAAATAGCGAGAAAACACAGAGATGGTATAATCAACTGTATATGGCTACCAATAAAGAATCTCTTTCAGATCTCTCCTGACTGGCATTCTGTAACAGAAGAGACTGCCTGGTATTTTAAGTATTTAATGTCCTCATAGTTGGAAATCTCTTAAATTGATTAGAAATTTCATTTTGATGAAAAATAATTTGTATTCATTCTTGTGTCTTTTGTGCAGTATATAAGTAATGGCAGCCCTATTTGTTTTATACAGATTTATAACGGAAAGTATTACACTCATATTCATATCTTGAACTAGATGTGTGTGACCATGTTTGCTGGTAATGGCTCCGATAAGTAACTTGAGATGGAGCATTTCACTGTAAAAGATAATGAAAGTAAAGGAAATTGGTCCTTGGATGAAAATAGCTATGCTTGAGAAGTGATTTTAGAAGTTTATGGCAAAATATTTCTGTGGGAACCTAACATTCAGCTAACATATGATTTAATATTAATGTATATTTTTCTATTCTTTTTTTTTTTTTTTTTGCTTTGATTCCGTACTTAAATGATGTTGCAGCTAAGTGAACAGGAACTCTGCTCACAGTGAACTAATGGTTCATCGTGGAATGAGTGGAATGAGTGGAAGGACAGTTGTTCAAGGGGATGCGAATTTTTACTATTTATACTTTGGTTACATTGTTGCCTAAAATGGCTCTGGATAATATTTTTGGGTTTAAAAAATGTACTTTAAAGCCACCATAGAAAGTATTTTCTGATTTACTGTCCACATGAACTTTTATTGTTAACTGAAAAGTAAATAAATGGTTAAAACTGACAGAAAAAAGTTGTGTGTGTGTGTGTATACACACATACACTTCTATGCATACAAATATATAATATTTATCAGGAAAAAAGCAGTAAAATTGCTGAATTTTAGTAATTAAATTGAAATTTTTAGCGAATCTTTAATTCCCCCTTATATTTTATAATTACATTAAGTAATAATGTTCATATTTTAAATATCATACAAAAAAGATAATTTGGCTTGTTAAAGATCCAAATAGAATCCAAATTCTTAACAGAAGATCCTTTTTACTTAAGAGAGATATTGAAAGATTATTAAAAAATAAGGTTTAAAAATGAATGCAAATTATCATGTCCATTTGTTCAATATTCTTGAGTCTCTATTATGTCAGCCAGTGTCCTAGAGGCTATTTTATAAGAAAGTGTGGGCATAGTTTCAAATTTAACAATATATTTTATATGAAAATGTTTTATTTATGTTTAAAATAATGATTTTAGTTAGTGGTCTTTTTTAATTGAGATAACTTTAGCTTAGGGGGTAGTCTATTGTATCCTGTCAGTTTAGATTATTTTAATCTTTTTTCTTTTTCTCACCAAAATTTAATAAGTAGCCCTTTTTCCTGATGAATGAGGTCCTCTTTAAGATGAATCGGTATTTGTTAGAATCCATGTAAGTTGATTTACACTAGCACACTGGAAAATACTTTGTGTCCCTGTTCTTATAAGCCAAACATTTACAGGTAACAGAAATAACTTGTGCTCTAGAAGAGTCTGGATGAGACTCATTGATTGAGGTGAATAGTTAACTATTCATACTGATTTATGACAGAAGGTTTATACCTGTTTACTGTGATGTCGAGTAGAATGGGATATATCAGTGTGTTGAATTGGATACCCAGGTGACCACAATTTAGTTTGGGCAACTACTTTCCCACATTTTATATTTAGTTTTTGCTCCAAACTCCTGTCTCAGGAGCTTTCCCAGTTAGGACCTCATTCTGAACCTGAAAGTAAACCAAATACTGGACTGATTTCAAATTCTGCTTCAGCAATTGTGTCTGCTTCTGTAGGGACCCCGGTGTTAACCCAGCTGTGTGTGCCAAACCCCAGAATTAGGTTGCAACTGAAGTAGCCTAATTATGGGATGATGTTTGCTTCAGTTTCTGTGTGTCTTTTACCCTACCATAAGGACTAGTTTTCCTTGCTTGTCCTGCTTATTTTTAGAGTGGAAGAACAGTTGATTAGTAAAGAAATCCTGTATAAGTGTACATATAAGCCGTCTCACTCAATTAATTGGAAGAAATAGAGGAAAGAAGGAGAACTCAGGAGGGCTGGTGGCCTAAACATAATAAATTCATATTCTTGTTCTGAAGTGATTTGTAGGTGTTTTTTCTCAATGTCCAGTTCCTTATCTGTGAAATGGGTATAATTTTGACTGCTCACAGACTTGCTGTAAGGAATGAATGAATTATAAAAGTATTTTTAAATGTAAAATTGGTTTATAACTTTGACGGACATAAACATTACACTTCCACTAGGGTGCATTAAGCTGTACAAATTCCAAATAACATGATTTGTGTGGTTTACCAATTTTATGTTGTTTCAGATGATATATATTGAAGACACAATAGGATTGCGTGAGAAGTTGTTTTAGAGAATACGAACCCATCAAGTTAGCAATTCCCTTTAACATTTTGTGTGTTGTTAGTAAGACATAGGACTTTCGTAATTTATAGCTGTATGGACTTGTAGCGTCTGTGCAAGATCTGACTGCCCATTTTATACAAGTTGGATATTGATGGAGAATTAAAAATGCTATGACAGTCCATATTGCATGGTGTATTTGCTTCAATTATAGCATGTGTCGTATAGGCAGAGTGGCCAGTGTATTCATTATAAAAGCCATTAGCTCTTAGAAACATTAGAGATGTTTACTCCCACTTCTTAGTGTACATTTCTGCTAGCACATGACATGGAGGTCTTTCGGAGTGACTACTTGTTTGATAAAGGTATCGTTTTCCTTTGGTTCATGGCAACTTAAAGTCTGAAAGTTCCTAGGGACCTAGATGTGAGGTCTTGTCAAAATCTTTCCAATTGCACAACACAAAGTCAAGGTAGAGATGCTCTTCCTGAGTTTATCCTTCTGGGCTTGAGGGCTACACCTCAGATAGATGGTCTGTGCGGAAGACCCAGACTTGGGCCGTGGTCTGCAGTCAAGTGGTCCATTGATAGGGCCCCTGCAAACTTCAGGAACTGGGCTTTTGTGGATATCTAAAATGAAGAGTTGTAATTATCTTTTCAGAAATAGGTTGGCAGCCCTTGATCATATTTATGGTCAAAATTAAATCTAGTAGGATATGTAAGTCATTAGTAAATAATTAGTTTAAATAAGGCTTAGTTAGGAAATGTAAGCTTTAACAAAATGTAACCGAACAGGGCTTGAAGTTTTAAAGCTGTTTTCCTCACATCTGTGTTGTGATTTGGCATTTAGGTAATGCCTTTCCTCCAAGGAGTTTAATGTGATTTACAGAACCAGTCTCAGTAGCTACTGATCACCAAGTTGCTGGGGTTTTGTTTTTGAGTATGTTCTTTTATCAGCAGTATCTGCCAGCTGTAACAGAGCCCAAATTAACCTGCTTTTCTTGGAAAGGATGCAGACCTGAGAAGGGACTTTAGGTTAACATCAACATAATATTTAGAGTTTCTAATTTTTAAATAAGAAATAAAAAGCACATTTTAAATGGTATTTTATGCTTTTGGAGGCAGGACAGTATGTGCCTCCTTGCTCTGCTGCTTCCCCACAGCAACAAGCCTGGTTCTAGGCACAGGGTGGGTGCTTTATTAATTGCTTGTTAACTGTTTCCCGACATCCATCCAAGTTTAGATTTTGATGTGGTGGAGCCATTCCATGATTGTATCCAAGAGTACGATTCATACAGTATACCTCTTTCAGTAGACATAGGCACCTACCTTCTCTCTCTCTCTCTCTCTCTTTTTGCCTCCCTTCCCCTCTCCCAACCAACCAATGTGAAGGTAGGGTTATGGCAGCTTTACTTAGGAGTTAAAAGTTTCTACAATAATTCATTAACTCTAAGAATTCTCCAGATTTACAAGATAACTTTACTCCTTCGTGGTGGAAGTTTGAATTGATCAGTAATTTCTTCCTGTAGATCTATGAAGGATTCTTTCTGCAGCCAGAAAGAACTGCATAATCAGAGCCATATTTTTATTTTAAAATATATTTATCTAATTTCTCTCTTCCCATTCTCAAAATATCAGCCACAATTATGAAGTTATGCCTATCCTAGTGAATTTCCAATAGCATTCAATTTTTTTTTTAATCCCAACACCTTGAACGGTAATTTACCCTTTAAAGTCATGTCTTGGACTCTACATTGGGTCTTATGTGTTCCTTAATACCATTCATTAGCCTTTGGAATAGAACTGTCACGTGTTACAGTAGGCAAAATCATTGTGGGCACAGAGAAAAATCTATTTCTTCAAGATTGTGAGTTCTTAGACTAGTATTTTATAGTCTTGTTTATCCTTGAATCTCTTGTTTTTAAGACTTTGAATTTGTTAGGAAAGAGTTAATATATAGCTAACTAGAGCATTTTAGAAAAATATTAGCTCTGTGAATTACCAGGCCCCATACTTCCTGGTTCATTACTGATTTTAATACCTCTGTGAGGGTATTAAGGTTAAGAGGAGCAGTAGAATTTGCATTAGCTATTATTATTTTGTCAGAGGTCTAATACATAGTTTATTGTAAAAGAGTTAAATATATAGAGACCCAAATAAAAAAATCTAGCCATGTTCCCAAACCTCCATTATGAGCAATATTTTAGTGTTAGTTGTCAGTGATAGACTATACATTTTATATGTTTTTTAAATAGAGAAAGTGAAAAATTATAAACTAATCATTATTACAAGAGGTTTTTGTCCACCTCTGTTTTACAGATGTTTTGCCCTCCAGTTGTTTGAGAGGAAGTCAAATAAGAGAGGAGAATATCTTTTCAAGAGGTGGAATGATATTTCCTTATAAAAGTGACAATCAAGTAGTAGTCATTTGTATATTTACTTGCCAAAGTTTTAAAAAGGTTTTTACATTCCTGACCCTAAATCCCCTGCTCCCCCACCCAGTATTCAGAAAGGGCTCAGCATAGATCCAGGTTTCCAGGGCCCAGGTCATTTTGGTTTTAGTCCAGGGCTTCTATGCCTGTACATGGCAAAAGCATGGGTGGCACTTGTGTCCTAGGATGCAGTGTGTGTCGGGGGAGGAAAGGA